TTTCAATTGCTGATATGTCAAACAAAACATGACATGTGTTTATTGGAATGAAGTCTTGAATCATATTTTGATCCAGCCTGTTATAATTGATCAAGTCAGTAAGATCTGATCCTGACATGACGTTATATGCCTTGAGGGTCACAGCACTTGCTCAGAGTCCTTGACATATGGTAAGATTTTCTCTTCATTTCCTCTTGATTTAAAGACAGGATATTGAAATCAAGATTCAACTAATCGCTTCACAGAGACAGAAACAGRACTCAAGATAGAGAAAATGAATGGCAATYACACTRCAAAGTCGACAAATACAAGTATTCCWAACTCTGTCAATGAGATCCCTTGGACAGTGGCGTTCTCTCTTCAATTCTTGTTCAGTATTATCGGAAATGTTCTCATTTTGGTGATAATCTACAAGGACAATCGATTGAAAACGACCACCAATTACTTAGTGGCCAATATGGCGGTCAGTGATCTAATGGCAGCAATAACTCTGTTCCCTTATCTCTTAGTATCGGTAAACTATGACAGTCAGTGGCTCATTAGGGGCGACATGAGCAATGTGACGTGTAAGATGTTTTCATTTGCGAGTGATGTATGCTTCATTGTTTCCGTGGGAAGCTGTGTTTTTATCGCTGTGGATCGGTATTTTGCAGTGGCCAAACCACTTAACAAACCTTTTTTGAGCRAGATGAAGTGGATCATTGCAGGGATTTGGTTATCAACAGTAGCTCTTAGTTCGCCGTACATATACTTCATTCAAGTCACAATTAGCAATGGAACGCAAGTTAAATGCACAGTATCATCAGAGAACTTACATTCTTTTAAGGTTTACCGGTATATTGTTTTACTGATGACTAGTGGTTTAGGTGCCMTCTTAATCATAGTTATCTACACTTTAACTGTTTACAAACTWTATCGACATAAAGCTCCTGGAATTACTAGCTCAGCAGTAAGAAGACGACAACATCAAAACAAAAAAGTGYTRAAAATGGCCGTGACAATTGTSGCTTTGCTTTATCTTTGYCATGGTACATGGTTGACTTTTATAGTTTTGTCGTATGAAGGAGAATTTGACTACCTTTCTCCATCTTCATTTAGTAAAGTCAATATTCGTTATGTATTTCTTCTGATGCTCTGCTTGAGCCTWATGTACAACTTCTTCATCTACCTTATCTTCAATGAAATATACCGCGAGAATATTAACTCTATGATTTGCAAATGTTCATGGAGAGTACAGCAAGTTAATGCCAACAATATGGAGGCTGTTTCAAGACCTACCGCCGTAGAAGCGATAGAAATCAACACCATTACCGAAAAYAATGTTCCTCAGATGTAAGATTATCTTTCTTTTAGGGCAAGATATGAATGAGCCGTCGAAAAGGTGCCGSCTATCTTTTGGCTTCTCTTGAAGTGGGAATCCATTTTATTCATTTTGCAACATCCTCGCCTTCTCCATTGCTTGTTGGAGTACCAACCGATTTATTTGTTTAATTGACCTACTCCAAAGCGTCCCTCTTTTTGACCTGAAGATGACAGGACATTTGCACTATACTTTGAAATAGGCATCTTTTTGAACCGGTTTAATGAGCGCCACTGACCCACTGTTTCAGCAACATTGTTAGCAACAAGGAGCAGTGRATCGCAGTCGAAATTCTCTCCAGTACAGTCGATGACTTGTGTTACTGATTTACGTACGTGGGACAGAAAGTCGAAGCGGTATATATTTTATAGTGTTTTCGGCAGAGAAAAAAAAATTAAAATGAATAAATTTGATAGCTGTTGGACGAGACTTTTCCACTGTAACACTTTGATTCGTTGAAATAGGAATATATATTTTTAAATTGAGAGTATCCACCAACTTAGGYAAGAAATTCCTCAAACTCGTAGAGAGATGTTTCCCTGTGGAACACGCAATGAGAATAAAATTCAACAAGAACACCGTCAAGCTCAGCTACAGTTACGTCAGTAACATGAAACAGATCATCGACAACCAGAACAAGAAACACCTACAACCATTCGTACGAGAAGCCACTAGCGAAACAAAAACCTGCAACTGCCGAAGAAAGACAGAGTGCCCGATGAACGGATCGTAATCATCAATTATCTATCAAGCCACTATTACACGCAACGACAACACGCGAGACGTACGTAGGCCTTACTGACAACCAGTTCAAGACACGCTGCAACAACCACAAGGCTTCTTTCCGCCACCAGCGACTCATGAACGCAGCAGAGCTTAGCAAATACKTGTGGTCACTCAAGAAAAACAACATTCCTCACAAAATCGCGTGGCGCATAATACCCCGTTCCAAACCTTACTCAAGTTCCAACAAGAGATGTAATTTATGTTTAACTGAGAAGTTTATTATCATTTGAAAACCACACATATGCTCACTTAACAAAAGAAACGAGTTAGTTTCCGCGTGCAGACACAAGCACAAATCTTTACAATAATATAAATATTGTATATTAACTTGCTATTAGGTCATTTTAATGGAAAAAAAAACTCCTGAAGATTGAGGCTTCGCCTCATGAAACAGGCCTGTAGAAGTTCTGTCGAAAGTTTATTCATAAACATCCCATATATTTTTTAATTGATATATTTTTCAATTTTAGTTAGATCACATTCATTTTAATCATTTTTTCCAAGATGCTAATCGAATAGAGCCTGCCTAATCTTGACAAATCAAAAATTCAGTTTTATAAATCAATCAGTCAGAAAAGTTATTACAATCAACATTTTTTTCACCTGTTATTTAAGTCTGTCATTTATGATAAGCAAACATGCTGAGATTAGATTTCATTAAATTCTTAGCTTTATAAGAGCCTACCATAAAATTATAGGAATTATACCAGTTTTCGGTTTTGAAGTATGATATGATTTCAGTTATCCTCGAGACTAATAGTCGTGATAATTCTTTACTCCGACGAAGGATTAACATCCGAAACGTCAGTAAGTTTTTCCACATACTTTTTTACGGTGTTAAATTTATCTTTTTACATAACTGTAGTCGTGATAATTGTTGTGTTGTTCTCAAAATTCCAGTTCAAGCGGCCTCAGCCTTAAATCTATGTGTTAATTTATCCACCATTCACAATTTTTTCTATCACGAAATCGTATTTGACATTCTTCGGGTAAGTCCAGAGTGTAAGGTAACAATATCAATTCTTCATTTGAGAACGCATCGATAATAAAAAGGCCATGTTCGAAAAACTCCACTTTATCACCAGGATTTCATAGTTTCAGCTTTGGCAATAAAATAGTATGGACAATTGCTTTTTCCCTTCAATTCCTCTTCAGTATTATTGGCAACTCGCTGATTCTTTGGATAGTATACAAAGACAATCGATTTAAAACTGCGATAAACTTACTGGTTGCCAACATGGCTGTCAGTGATCTTATTGCATCTGTTTTCGTCGTTCCACATCAGATTTTGTACATAAACACAGAGCGTCAATGGACTTGTGTTGATCGTGACATAAGCCGTGGACTTTGTAAGCTATTTTCCTGTATGGTAGATGTATGTTTTACTGTTTTCTTGAGTAGCTGTGTTCTTATTGCCGTTGATCGGTATTTTGCTGTTGCTAAACCATTCTACAAACCTTTCAAGAGCAAAATGAAAGGCATTGTCGTAGGAMCTTGGATATWGGGAGTTACAGTCTGTTCGCCTTATTTGTACTTAATTGATATAGTCAAGAATGCTGACCAGTTACTTTGCACAGCAGATCCAAAAACTATTTCTACTTATAAACCCTATAGATATACCGTTTTAGCTCTTACCAATGGTTTGTCAGCCCTGATAATCATAATAATGTACACTTTACACCCGATTTCAAATGAGTGCGAACTCTCGAATTTTTTTTGAACGCTAAACTTTCACTCGACCGTCATTCACTCGACCGCTTGGTAACCAGGCACAAGTGTTTAGTAAGTGATGTGTGACTTTCTGTAGCGGGACTTTCGCATTTAGAATTATGGAGGAAGAAGCGGTGGTCTTTGTTCGAGATACCTGTGGTCCTTGTGTTTCACAGACCATTCTACTTCACTCAATGCAATTGAGAACAATTAGAAGAATATCAACTAAACTTGATTAAAGAATATAATTTTCTATCTGGTTTGTAGTTTAAATTTGGCTTTATTAACTTGTAAACATCAAATGCATGAAAATAATACTTTGCACAATTAGGTATGGCTTTGCAAGAACCATGAACTTGAGGGTGTTGTTTTCTGCATCTTCAAAAGATATTCTTATGTTGAACTAAAATACACATTTTTCTTTTCTTTCGTTATGTAAACAATTTAAGTTTACAATAAAAAAATCATCAAGCAAGCGAAAAAATAATTGCAACACTGTTGTTTAAATTAAAGGTTGAAAACGAAGTAACTTATGTTTAAATGTAACCTTCTTTCGAAGAAGTAAATATATTCTTATTCGTATTACTGTAAAAACCCTGATTGATTGAATACAAGTTTACAATGACACTTACATGTGAGAAGTCGAGGCCTTCCACGCCGTGTATGTACAGCAACATAGTTGTCGAATTTTACAAACAAAAGTTTTCCCTACAAATAACGCCCTACAAGTTTCCTTAATGCTTGAACCGTAAATAAGTTCATGGTAAATAACCCTCCGCCGAATATCGTCCGATAACCTCTTCCTTTTAATCAGTAAACTAGTAAAATCAACAAAGAACAGCCAACGAACACTAAAAGCGATTTAAAGTGCGCGCGCTTGTCAGTGTTTGTCACGCTATTTATTATTCAACTGTTTCGCTGTAATTGTGAGCTGAGAAAGTTAAGTTAGACCGAAACTAGTTTTTACAATAAGTTCGTTTTGTAGTGCGATCACAAACCGTAGGAATTTAGCCCACAGACATACATTAACCATGGTTTTTATACTTGGATAATTTTACCCGCTTCAAGCTGTGCCAGGTTACCAAGTAGTCGAGTGAATGACGGTCGAGTGAAAGTTTTAGCGTCCGAAAAAAAATACGAGAGTTCGCACTCATTTGAAATCGGGTGTAACCATTTACAAACTTTATCGACACAAAGCTCCAGGACTTCCAAACTCACAGCTGCAAAGAAGAGAGCGACAGAACAGGAAAGTTCTTAAAATGGCCGTGACGATTGYGACTTTCTTTTACCTCTGTCACGGGTGTTGGTCGACTTTTATTTTATTGGCTTTTGAAAAAAAACTCGATTGTAACTCACGATTTTAATCGTTCAACCTCAATAACACTTTTTCTTTCTTTGTCTATGTGAGTCTTGTAACTAACTTCTTTATCTATCTTATCTTCAATGATATTTACCGTGAAAATGTTAAGAACATGGTAAGTAAGTGCTTCAAAAACGGGCACGCACCATTTCATGAACCGACTTTCTTAGAACTACACTAATAGACGTATAAAAACAAATTGTGTAAAAGTATATTTCTAAGCACTCTGGAAATAAAAAGTAAATTCGGATTAAACTAACGTTGTATTGTATGGGGATATGAGGGCCGTAGTGAAAACGTTTGACTATTGGATAAAATGGATCAAACAAATGCAGTAATATGTCTTATATCATATCTTTTAGCACCTTTATTGTTCTTTTGTCGAACACTTCTCTTGGAGTCTTGGTTTTATTGTTTATTTCACGTTACCATGCCTACCTTGCTCCCATTGGTCTACTTTCTTTGCTACTCTTATTACACCTACTTGCAGAAACGTTGTCATAGAAAATAGAACTTTCGAATTTAGTAAAAAGGAATAAATTAAAGCAAAACAAAAGAAAGCGTTCAGCCTCAGTGACCTTCTTTTGTCTTTTTAATTTATTCCTTTTTACTAAAATACAAATGTCCTATTTTTTATGACAACGTTTTCGCAAGTAGGTGTATGTAAACTCACACTTTACCTAGTTTCATCTCTTTTCTTTGATGAAGGATTAACGTCCGAAACGTCATAAAGTTATTTCACCTACTTTTACGGTGTTTAATTTATCTTTTTACGCACCGTATCTTATATAGTTTGGTTAAACATTAGATGGTTCATTATTTAAGTTGTCCATGTATTCGTTGTACAGTCAACTCTCTCGTAAGCGACCACCTCGGGATCAGAAAAACGTGTTCGCTTACAAGAGATGGTCCGATTACGGGAGGTTTTTTTTTTTCACAGGGTTTATATGGGAAACAATTATAACGGGAAATTTAAAAGGTGGTCGCTTGCGGGATATGGTCACTTGCGAGAATGGTCGTTCAAAGACAGTCAACTGTATATATCAAACACTTGTAATCGATCATTGAGAAAGCAACACAAGTTTAATATATCTTTCAAAACAAACAGATTCAAAAACAGTTTTATTATTCATAATTCCTTAAAGGCTTGATAACAACCTAACTCTTCAGACCAATTTTTATTCTTACATCCTTTTTATCAGTATATTTATATTCTTATGATCGTATATATATATATATTTATTATTTTAATATTTGTAAACAATGCATATTTCAGCCCATGGCTGCAAGTTAATTTGTCAATAAACTATCTATCTATCTATCTATCTCATTTAAAAATCTTATTTAACATTGAAAACCAGCCAAGATCAATCAAATATGACACTTAAATATCACCAAAACCATATCTAT